GAGACCCCTTTCGTTTGCTGTAGCCACGCTTTGCCGTCGCTGCTGCGCTCGACCTCAGCGACGATACCCGCGGTAAACGCGTCGCCCCAGCACGCGCCAAACGCGTGCCAGTCGCGTACATTGCGCAGAGCGGTTTCGAGGAAGACGGCGCCGTTGCTCGTCATGTGGCGACAGCGCGCTTGGCGCTTGGCCGTGCTCGCCATCTCCCAGACGCGGCCCAAGTCGAGATAGCAGTACTGGGTCGCCATCCACGGGAGCCGGCACGGGTCCATCGCCCGCAGCCCTCGGATCGCCGCCTCCAATGTCGTCAACGTTCGGGTGGAAGAGCGCGCGGCGGGTGGCGGTGGCCGCCGACAAGAGCGCGCTCGGCTGGGACCCGTCGTACGCTGTAAAGTAGTCGATGTACTTGGTGCTCTCGAGCGCGAGGAGCGATGAGCTGCTCACGAGAAGCTCGGCGTTGACACGCGTCGCGAGAAAGGCGTAGCCTCCCGAGGTGTTGAAGCCGGCCCAGAAAAAGTCGTTGGCCATGTAGTCGGCGGCGATCGAGAGGTACGCGACGTTGCTAAAGAGCGTGCACCCAATGTACACCAGTCCAGCGACAAGGATGCATGGCGCGGCTCTGGCCACGCGCGACGCCGTGGCTTGGTGCTTGAACAGGATCGGCGACCCGTTCATGCTTTGAACGACCGCCACCTTTGGCGCGGTTGCGGGGACGAGCAGCCATAGCTTGATGCTAAAGAGCTGCTGCCACCATGGCAGCCAGAGCAGGCCGCACATGGCGGCGGTCACATCGTCGAGCTTTTCTTGTGTCGGGAACAGTTGGAGGACCATGGGCGGTAAGAGCAGCGGCGGCTGCTCCTGGATTAGCGACGACCGTCGCGGGCGACACAGCACCGAGCTAATGACTGCGAGAAGGACGCCGCCGAGCTGAATTCCGATGATCGTGAGGACGCGATTGAAGCTGCCAATGCGGACGCTGCCGGCTTCGCATTGGAGTGCGATGTCCATGTCGGTGGTTCGACACGCATGGGCTATAGTGGCCTCGATCGACACGGGCGACGCGACGTCGAGGAGCACGATGACGCACCACGCGGCACCGGTCGTCCACTTGTGCAGCGCCTCGAGAAGGATCGGGTGCAGACACTCTTGCGCGACAAAGGTGAGCCACAGCGTCTCGCCGGCTAAAAACATGCTCGTCCACAGCGACCGGTGGTCCTGCATGAGGGCGACCGTTGCGTCGCGCGTCTGTGGCACGATCGGGGCGCTCGACAAGCAGACGGCGGCGACGAGTGCGCGTACAAAGAGGAGCCCCCAGTTGAGATACATCGACGACGAGATCCGGTGAAAGTGAAACCAGTGCGGGCTTCGGTGCTGACGCCCGACTGCGACCAGCACGACAATCATGGCGGCGACCAGCACAAGCATGATAGACGTGAGAAGCGCTGAGTACCAAAGGTAAGCGCCGACGTTTGCGCTGGCAGTGGCGCTCCGGGGCGCGACCACACGTGCGTAGGCCGCCGACATGAGTCGTAGGGTGCCGTGGTCGCCCTCGAACGAGACAACTTCGCGGTTGCCGTGTGCCCAGTCGTAGAGACTCAGCCACCCGTACGGCGCCCACACGTTATTGTCATCGAGCAGCGGCTGCATCGCGAGCGAAATGTTGTTGCTGTTGGTTTTAGGGGCGAGAAACTGAGCGATCGAGACGTTCCAGGCCTTGGCGTCGTCGGGTGCTGTGAGCGTCATCGATGCCAAGAACGACAAGGCGTGCAGCGTGCGGTCGACAGCGGTCGCGCACGTTGGTGCTTCGTCCGCGCAGAACGCCGACGACGAAGGCAGCGACGTCAGCGACGCAGCAAAGAGCCCGCTGAAGGGCGTCCACGTATACGTCAAGGGCAGTTGGACCACGCACGCGTCATCAAACGCAAACGACTCTTGGATCAACGAAAGTGGATTGCCGTAGCCGCAGAGCGGGCTTCCGCCGTATGACAAGCGGCCTCTCCATGCGACGGGCGCCGGCAACAAGTCGGTCGAGGTCGGTACCCTGCCCCAGGCGGTGGCAAAGTCGAAGTTGTCTCGGAGCATTTCCAACACGAGCGTGTCGAAAGCCAGAACGAGCGCCATCAGCGACGGTGGGGGCGCGATATAGCGCAGGCGGATGTTGGTGAGAAAGTCCAGCGCCGTATGCAAGACTTTGTTGACAGGGCTAATGTTGCCGAGGAGGTAGAGCTCGAGCATGGCCGGGTCTGTGTCGGCAAAGAAGCCCGAGGTGTTGCGAACGAGGCTCATATTCGGTGCCATCATGAGCCCGATGAGGTCGTACTGTAGCGTGCCCGTCAAGAAGGACGTTGTCCAGTCCGGAAGGCCGCGCTGCACCGACGGAATCGACTTGATCAGAAGCGGATTGAGGATCCCGAGGGCATTTTCAATCCAAATCGTCTCTTGGACGCCGATGCGCACGCGGTTCGAGTACAAAAGCTGGAAGGTTTGGATGTTGTACTGCTCCCACACAGCTACTTCATCGTCAAGCGGTAGCCACGTGTGGCGCTGGATGCTACTCACCCACTCGCGGCCTCTGGGCGCACTCTGGCTAATGGGGTCGAAGAGGTACTTGTCGAGGTGTGTCGCGTCATGCGCATACCACACTTGAAAATGAACGTTGCGGAACACCGCCTCCATGTACACGGCGCCGTTTTGAATGTCACGGGCGACGCAGCGAGCCATCGTGCGCTCCGAGGTGCCCAGTTCCCAGACGCGGCCAAAGTCGACCCAGCAGTACTTGGCGGCGAGGTACTTGATCAAGGCCACGTCGAGCGCGCGAAGACCGCGCACAGCAGCCATCGGCGTTGTCAACTCGTCGTAGAGGAGGCGACGCCCATAGCCATTCGGCGCCGTGTCTGAAAAAGCTGTCGGCAGCGATAGCGAGAGCAGGTCGAGCGATCCACTTCCACGCGTATCGAGCTGCGTGTTAAGCAGCGCAAGAAAGCACGCGTGATGTACCCTTCGGCCGCAAAGCCCGTCCAAAAGAAGTCGTTGGCCACGTACGGCGTGAAGAGCACGAGACAGTAAAAACTCCAGCCCGTCGAGACGAGGACGTAGCCAAGACCAACCCACTGAAGCAGCCGCGCGTACGAGCTGCGGCGCACGGGCACTTGAAATACGGTGGGGCTGCTGTGCTGCATATCACTTAAGAAGCCGAAGTACAACTCGGTCTCCGCACAGGTGCAAACCGGGAAGGTCCATTTTTAGAAAGTACACATTGTGGATCAGCAGGGCGAAACCTAAAAACCGCACATTCACTCCAAGTCGTTGAGAGCAGCATGTGGCACTTCACGACGAGCTACTGGTATACCTCGCGCTCCTCGTGGTGTGTTGGCGCGATCGAAACAGAGCGACTCACGTGTG